ATCTCCATGAGAGGCCACCCTAATGGCTACCATTCAGCACATACATCCCTTAATTATTTTCATGTCTGGAGGGTAAGGTATTTGCTGAATTGTACTTTTCTCTCCTCATCCAACGGTTAGCAAAGTTCTTTGCCTATTTCAGGTGTTTCATGAATGTGAAGTGAAAAATTGCAGTGTATTAGTTTGTAATGTAGAAGTTTGTAGTGCTAGAAGTCAAGGGTTGAAAAGTCATCCAGAAAGAGGAAAGGGATCTAAGTGTTTGGAGGTGCAATAAATTAAGAAGGAAAACTGGGAAGAAAGAACTGACTTGGAGATGTTCTGGGGAGAGAACCATGGAGTGTGATCACGCAGAAGCGCCCGGGGCACTTGGGTTGGAAAGCTCCCAAGTGGGCTGCGTGGATCTTTTGGAAGATTCCTTGCTTGTCGACTTTTTCTCCCTCTCTATAGCCAATTCTTCACAAAATTGCATTGAATCTACATTAAAAATATTTCTAGACTCTGCACACCTTCTCTACCACCCTAGTCCGGCCCACTGTCATCTCTTGCCTGGGCAACTGTAAATGTCTTCTGTTCGGTGTCCCTGCTCCACTCCTACCTCCAACCATCTGCTCTTCCTCAGCACTCAGAGTCCTCATACTGCAAGCCTGACTATAATGGCCCACACAATATGAACTCTGGTGACCTCTCAGAGCACATTCTTCACTCTCCTTTCCTCTCACACTACTGCGGACAGTTCAATTTGCTTTTCATTCTCTTAATATGCTAATGGCCTTTGCACTTGATGTTGTCCTAAGCTTCTCATGCATTCCCTTCAAACATTTCCAAAGCTCCATCCCTCAGCCAGTTCTCTCCTCAAGTGCCACTCCCTCTAACACATCTTTCCTGGCCACTCCACCTTAAAGGGAGCCCACTGCTCCCAGCATCACTGCCACCATCACATACACACCATATGTCCCATTATTGCATTTATCAGAGCATGTATCACATTGTGCTGTCTATTTATTTGCTTTATTGTCTGTGTTTCCCACTAAAATGCAAGCTCCTAAAAGCAGAGACTTCTTTTGACATGTAGTAAATGTTCAATAAATTGAGGCATGAGTCTAGCAGGCAGGGAGAAGTGGCAGGTTCCAGAGTCAGGTTGCCCTGGAAGTGAAAAGGTAATATTTAAGGTACAAAAGATTTTTCAATGCAATAATTCTAATATGGGTTGAACAGTTAATAGAATTCAGTACAAGTATTTATAATGCAACCACTATATGCAGAGGTTAAGTCTCGTAGCTTAGTTCATAGGGAGATGCATTGTTACCCCAAAAGTCACACCTCTCTGACGGTTCAAATCTAACAATCACGGCACAATATAAAAAATAGGCAATCTCCTGTGAAATTTACAGCCTCCAAAACCCAATAATGGGTTGGCTATGAGTCCGTTCCGACTCTCTGAAAATGGAAGGAGTGGGCTGTGTGCAGGGTACAGTGCCAACAGCTGTTTGCGATCAGTGATAAAGCACAGACCCTGTCCTCAAGGAACTTGGGAACAAATAACTCCTTAGTTACCTTTTCATTCCTACAGCACATTCCCACAGCATGTTCTCCATTTATCTGCCACACTGGGAGAGGGGGGTATTTTTGTGTGTGTGTAGGTGAATTCCCAGTATATTCCTTCATTGAATCTTTCCACTGTTAAACTGTCCAATAGAGTGAAATATATCTTAGGAGCCCATAGCTCCCTTCTAAGTTCTGAATACAAACCCTTCATTTGAATGTTGGTTTAGACTTCTTCATTTGGACGCTTTCTTCAGGTACCATTTCCTTCACCCTTGTCTGTATAGTATCTTCATTTCACTTGCTGTGACTGAAACTCAGGGTGGTTTTCCTCACCATAAACCCAGCATTTCACAGAGTCTACCTCAAGATATGAAAATCTGCCTGCTCCTTTCTTTTTACCTGTTGCTTTTTCTGTGGTCCTGGCCATTATCATTCTTCCTATCCATTCGCCATAGCAAGCAAGGCCAGATTGGTCTTCCTAAAATGCACGCTTGTGATAACTATGCTCCCTTGTTCACAAGGTTCAGGCTCACAGTCCAAAGCTTTTAAACACTCTATGACGCTGTCCAGGTGTAAGCAGGGGCTTTCTCTTCTAGGTTCATTTCCTGTCACTATTTCTTACGGTCTAGTTGAAACTGTCTCACATACTTTGGCCATGCTGTCAGGAGCTGCCTGACCTTGGAAAATGTCAGCATGCTGGAAAAAGCAGTAGGGCAACGAAAGTCAGGAAGACCCTCAAGGAGATGAAGTATCACAGTGACTCCAATGGTCATGAGCATGACAGAACTCAGGAGGATGAGGCGTGTGACAGGGCAAGGATCTTATCTGTTCATAGGGTCACTGTGAGTTGCAGTTGACTTGATGGTATCTAACAACAAGAAGTTTTGGCTCAACAGAAATTTGTCCTCCAATAGGGTTACCCTCTCTCCTCTCTCTTGGTTTATAGGTGTGGTTTCCAGTATTTGCAAAACAAGAACTTTTTCTTCTAAGAAGAAAATTCTAACTAGTCTTCATTTCTACTGAGAAGCCTTCCCTGACCTGACTGGACTAGACCTGACCAGACCCAAGCCCTTTCAATTCTTTTGTAGCCCCATTCCCACACACAGGATTAGAGGCCTTGCATGCGTTTCCACAGGGTCTCCAAGTTCTAAACGTACAGAACTGCACCATTCTGTAAAGACAGAATCCTGGGGGCTAGACAGTGTATCTACCCAGCACAGTGCATGTTAACATACAGCCTGAGTTACAATGCACCGGCTGTGAAGGAAGGAGTCCTAGTGCCACAGGGGTTAAAGATCAAACCTAAAAGGCTGAAACTTTGAACTCACCAGCCGCAGGGCTAGAGAAAAGAGTGTTTCTATAGAGTTTACAGCCTTGAAAACCCTATGGGGCAGTTCTAGTCGCTATGAGTCGGAATCACTTGACAGCAATGGATTAGCTTGTATGGAACAGATCCTCATAAAATAATAATAGTTTACATTCAGCGAGCACTGACGTTGCATCTGTCAGGCAACATTATGAATGGTTTAGAAGTATGTCACAGAAGGCTCATATAATCCTATTATGTAGCGACAATTTCCAATTTCACAGATGGACAAACTGAGGCACAAAGAGGGTTACGTAACTCATTCAACATCTGCAGCTAGTAAGTGCAGGGGTGAGCGGTTCAATGCGAGCTATTTCCAGAGTTCATGCTTTCAACGTCCAGCGAAATGTCTCTTAGAGGGAAACGCAACATGGGGTTCCACTCTACGAACAGATTCTAGCCTCCTGCAAAGGGCTTTGTGTTTGTTTTTCTGGAACTCTCTCTCTCCTATGCACCCCTTTCTAGGCAGAGATGGAGGAGGGGGTCCTGGGATAGGCTTTGGGAAGGGCCTTGGCATCTCCTTGGCGACCCCCTGATCAACTTTCAGGGCTGCCCAGCCCCCACATCAGCTATTCCTTCACTTGTGACCCTCTACCACGGCAGGTACTGACCTGGCGTGAAGAGCCACTGCTCCGCGTGCCCTACAGGGCTCTCCTGTCGCCCCCAGACCCGCGGCCA